AGATTAACAGCATCTACATACTATGCAAAAGAGACAAAAGATCAGAAGATCGCCTCACCAGCAATCAATCTCCCGCAATCATCACCCAGATAAGCAAAGGTCACCACCAGGCACACAATCAAGCAGCAAACACATGCCAATTGAAGAACTACCAGAGGAGCAAAACAGAACCCCCACCCCCACCAGCACTGGCAAGGCAGGACACAGCACATAAACAGAGAGCAAACCCCACTCCATTCTAGCACTGAAGATGTCACCTAGCCGGTAATGAAACGTTTGCAAGAAAAGAACCAAGCTCAGAGAACCCCAAGGACCCCACTTTCTTTTTTTGGTCCAGAATGGATTGATCATTCTCCTTGCAATCCATGGTACTCTTAGTAATAATCTCCACATTCACAAACTGAAGATGTCTATTTTCTTTATCTCATCCTTTCTCAGTGTAGAGATTTCACAGCCATGAGCCACACATTATTACCAGAAATATCTTTGTTTTAGTTATTCCAGTCTCACTGAGATATCCTTCATGCCCTTGTCTAAGTTTGTCATTGTCTTCTTCTATAGGATTAAGTTCCTTCTTATTTCTCTAGGAAGCCATCCTTCTTTATTTATTCTCGAACAAAGAAAACAAAACTACCTATCACCTTAACACCTTCACCATCAACTGTAGTTTCACCAAGCATGCTGACTGACATTAACTTTGTCTTCTTAATATTTAACATATTCCTAGAAATATAAATACACAAAAATTATTCCAAATGACAAAAAAGAGCTGTTTCCAAGATAGTCTTTTAATGTTCATTAAGGCTCTTTATTGTGGTAATTTTATGCAGCATAAATAGAGATGACTGAAAGGGGGCAAGAGAACCATGCTGGATGAAGACATGGAAAGAACTGAAAGGGAAGAGAAGTTAGGGAGCCACATGTTTAAAAATAAAAATGAAGGATGCCTCCTTCATACCAAATTGGGGAAGAGATGATTCCTTATGGACTTTTTAAAGCTGACAAGTGTTTATTTTGGGAATTTTATGAGTTATCAAACACATGTTGGGATCATCCTTTAGTCTTCAGGTCATAGTTTTGTCTGATTTCTTCCCTTAACTTGGATAAGCTATATAGCTAGAAAGGCTGGGAACTGAAGCACATTTTAAAAAATATGCTGATGTTTTGTATCACTTTTCCCCCATAGGTTCCGATACTGTATATCCTTGATTTTTGCAATCACATCCATGTTCTTTCCTTCCACTTCTCTGCTATTCTAAATGTTCTCGTTGTGAGCATGTAAACAAGTGTTTTGCACACCTATATGTACATTTAATTTTTTTAAAAAATGATTTAAAATCAGAATTCCAAAACTCTGAAACACAAAATGTGCTCTTTGCTCCTCTTTACCTATCTTTTTGTCTTTCCTCATCAAAGTCGAGCAGAAGGAACATCTGTCTGTTTGTGAGTGAATAGACATACATCTTGGGGTATTATCACATTCAGTTCAAACTTTAATCCCTTTTTCTGAATTTCAAATTTTAAACACAAAGTCATATTATCAAATTAAAAAACCTCACTTTGATCTGAGGCATTCAGAAAATATTCAAGCAGTTGGAGAAAAGCAGGAAAATATTCAGTGACAAAAATCTAATTTTTTAGGTGATCTTTAGGTTTATTTTAAACCTGTTCTCTGGAACTGAACTGAAAACATTCATGTAGTTCAGGGACACCGTCTTAACTTACCCTGAGCCAAGCGGAGGACAGCTGCAAGTTCAGCAGGAATTTCCAGCCGTCGGACATCCTAAGGAAAAGAAACAGCAACTGAATGAGCAACAAAGGGCACTTTTTTTTTAGATCTATTTATTTATTTATTTATTTAATTAATTAATTAATTAATTTATCTAACTTATCCCCGCCCATCTCCCCCC